TTGCGATATGAAAGGCAATGGCCACGTACTCCCCTTCCCTTCCGCAGTCGATTATCGCCAACTGAAGGCCAGAGAGCCCCATGACCAAACTGCCGTTCTCCCCAAACACCGCCATGTCCAACAGCACGCTGGCCCGAGGCCCATGTTCCGGGGCGGGGTCTAATGCACAGGCGCCTGGAAGTACGCCGGCGAAGATGACGGCCTTGTCGGTCCTGTCGCAGGGCGTGAGGCGCGCCCTGTGGGAGAACGAGCGCTCGATCTCGCTGAGCACCAGGGCGCCGTCGAAGGCTAGCGTGGAGACGTCGACGTGGAGCAGCAGCGCGTCGAGCCCCTGGAGAAAACGCAGTGCGACCGAGCACGGCTGCTGTAGAGTTGGAGTAACATTGGATTCATTGAACACTAGAATTACTGCAACGTTTTTATTGTGCTAAAATGGCAAAAGAGAATAAGGTTCGTTTTGCCCGACTGGCGCATTGCAAACCACGGTGCGCCGTATATGACAAGGCACAATACGAAGGAACGCAAACACAGTGTTGTAGATGGATTTCGTGTAAAAGCATAGCCAAGCTCGGAAGAAGCATAAAATTTCGCAAAGGCACCTTATCGTACACTTTCAAGAGTAGTACAGCTTTCCAGAACTTGATTTGTCCCTAAGTACACCAAATTTAATACTTTCATGCCCAGGAGATTCCAGCACTTCTTTGTGTAGTAGGATAATCTCACAGGCAACTTTGTTCAATGCTTCGTTGCATAAACGCAACACAACAGGCAACCGTCAAGTTCGCGCCCACCGTACATCTCGGCACGCTTGGCCCTGCCGGATGATAAAGTACATAGATTTTGTAGATTATTTTTAATTCAGCGATCAGCAATGGAAGCTGTGTAAGAGAGCGTCAACCGTGTACGCAATACATTCGTACATTATCGTCATATTATAATGTGTGAAACTGCAGCGATATGGGCTATTTTAGATTGCAAACGGTTTTGCGAAACTGCGATTTTAACACACGATATATGGTGCATAGCGCTCAGCGATGGACACCGATTTAGCAAAGGCGCAGGCACGCGAAAGGACATTTTTCGCCGGCATAGCACCCACGCACCTGCGCTCCCCTGCCCTCCCCAGGCCCATCGTCCTTCCCTCCCACAAGCGGCAGCGTCTGTGGAATGGCCACGACCCCTCGACACGCCTCCAGGACGTCCCGGTAGTGCAGCCTGACCGTGACGGAGAGCGCCGCCCCCACGCGCCCCACCGTAAGGTCTGGGTACATGCCCAGCAGGTCGTCCTGCTCCCCGCACCTGGCGCCCTTCGGAAAGGCCACCAGCCTCCGTGACCACGCCTCGACGCCACCCCCCCTGCCGCCCACACCGCCCCCACAATCCGCCACAACCGACAAATTCCACAGGGAAGCATCCGGGTTGAAGCCCGGCAGAACAAAGCCCAGAATGACCCCCTGCGGCGCCGCCAGGGCGTCTCTAGGCCCGCAGAATGCGTTAACTTTTTCGCGCAGTTTTGGAAGCTGGTGACAAAGGTCCTGCTCTCGCCCTCCCTGTTCCGCCTCCTGCTCCACGACCAGCTGCCAGCCCCGGACCTTGTCCAGGCTCGACCGGAAGCGCTGCAGCTGGGCGGCGTGGGCGAAGGCGGGAGACGTCGCCAGGGACGTCAGCCACAGCCGCCATGTGGGCGCCCGCCGCGCATCCCGGCGGTCCAGCGCCTCTTGGCCGAACTCCAGCCCGACCAGTCCCATCCAGAGGCTGTCCTCAAGGCTGGCGGCCCGCCAGGCGCGGCAGGCGCAGGACGCCAGGGCCAGGGAGCGACAGTCCAGGCGGGCGAACACCATGAGGAGGACCTCCCGGGGCAGCGCCTCCACGGCCACGCACTGGCGGCGATATCCAGAAAATGTCGGACAAGATTCTGCAATCTGGGGATTTCCTTTGCCAGTGAATAAAAATACTGTCCTTGGGCCATCAGGGGACTGGCGTCCATGTACTAGCGTAGATTAACGGTATTTACCGCAACCTGTTCAGTGATCTACTGACAAAAGTGAACGTTGCACGAAATGCGCGGTAATGATTACATTGTTTGGTACGCTTTTATCCCACAAAGACACTGCCATTAAAATGATCACTGCTTGGATTATTCTGGTGATTTAGAAACAACAGCTGCAACTTGGGTAGAGGTTGGTGCAACATGGTTTGTATAGTGTCACTGATGCAACACCGGATGACGCTGCAGCCATGCCAGTGCATCAGCATTGACACAACTCTGGCAATCACACCCAAGCTTGCCAATACCAACATTTGGCGTGTTGTGAAGCGCTGCTGGTCATTCAATCAATGGCAAAGCATCTGCAACACTACACAGCGTCTGCCCCTTTTCTGAATGAAAAGCATTTGCACCATTCCCCAACATCGCGTTCACGGCATGTGATTGAATCCGCAATCGCATGCACAATCGCGTGAACAAAGCAAGACTGAAACGGACACGAACGGTTTTGATATAGACAAAACAACAATTCAGTCAATTCCATTTAACCCTATAGCATGATATTTGGATTTTGAGGAATTCACTGACACTGCTTTCTTCAGTTGAAACAACCAGCTCGCTGTCTTCATCCACCAGCTACGACCTTACACTGACATGTGGCGCAGTTCTGCACTCATTCCCGAGGTGCACAGAACTTTCCCCATTATCGACCCAATCACGAATTTGCTTGCTACTGATGTCTCGAAAATGAGTAATTGTGCAAACCATTGCGCAATTTTGCCATAATAACTGGAATAGGGTTCGGCAAATAGTCGACACTATTTCCAACAGCAAAATAGCTACTCGGCTGCTGTTCACTTGCCTTGGTTTGCAAAGTTTACTGACTGATAGACTGTGCAATGGCCACTTTCCAGTGCGGCGCACACCCCTGCACGCCCACCGGGTCCCGATCCGCCCCTCGCGTCGGCTTCCTGGGGCGGGTCGCCAGCCTCCGCGACGCGGCCGAGATGCCCCTGGCGCAGGGCCCCAGGGCGGCCGCGGAGACGGCACCCAGTAGGAGCAGCGGGCGGAGCGCCCAGGCGTCGTGGAACCGCAGCAGCCAGGCCATGCCGCTGCACATGGCGTTGCGCCGCCTGCTGCGCGCCGGCGACGGGCGCGACGTCCACTGGGGCAACGGCCGCCCGTGGGCAGTGAATGACTCATCCGCGAGGTGGACGTCCATGTCGCTGTTCGAGAGAAGTGGGGAGCGGGGCTGCCTCGCCGCTGCTCGGAAGTTTCCGCCCGAGCCTTTGTGGGCCTGCCGCCGTCAAAGGGCGCAAGCGGCGCTGGCCATGGGTGCTCTGATTTGGATGTTGCGCACCGCGAGCGTTGCTTCTAAGCCATTATTTTGGCCAATCAGAGGCTGGGATCCAGTGCTGAGCAACTTATCAAATGTATACATGCGTTTAAGGTGCTTGTATTGCCGGCTTCCGCTTTCGCGGCCTGACTAATTAACAGTATTGGCCGCCTACAGCAGCGCTATGCTTATGGATGTGGGCTTAATTCTCTCAACCTGGTTCTTGACTTGTACTTGGCAACGTTGACCCCGGTGAAGGTGGTTGCGGTAGTGGGACAGAGCTTCGATGTCTGTCTAGAATTTTAATGGCGACAAACCGATGTGCGTAGTGGCCTGAAATGGCGGTATGTCAATTCGCGAAATGCCACAGGTCAAGTCTAGGTATTGCAGCATGTTGGCGAGAGTGGAATCGAGAAACGAAAGTTTTACTGTCGAAGACATGTACAAGTTTCCCGTCGCAAAAGGTGAAGATAAAAAGAGTCACCAAATCATCGGTCCACACACCCGTGCGACGGCTTAATCGCAACAATGGACGCAGCTTCCTCAGTATTAGATTTCGCTGCAAAGAGAAACACACCCCAAGGCAAAATCGATGAATGAGCACCAGCGTACAGCGAGAAAAATGTTGAAGAGATCTCCAGAAACGTTGCCACGGCATGAGCTGGCGTAGTTGACGGCTCATTAAACACGCATCAAGAACACAGATGCCTCAAGTGTTATACGATGGGTTATTCTTCCATATAATTTTGAGCGAGGATCGCCCAATTCTAGAGTGAGGGTCAGTGGTGACCACAGAGGGAGGTGAACGTAGCCGGGACAAGTGCAAGCAGCCTGCAAAATATCGACACACTCTTGCCCTCCACATGACATTCGCGTCAGCAGGAAACACTGCGATATGCTGGTTACGTCGACTGCGAATTCTTATAGAGGACTCCTCAAGTACTGTACCCGCGCTTGCAATAAATGTTGTGGCGTCCACTACGAAAGGCCTTTCTGAACATTGGGGAGATGTCATACTATCGTTTCCAGCAGCCGCTTCAGAATTTGTTACAGTAGACGGGCAGACGTGCCTGGCAACCACCTGGCCACAGCAAATTTGATTCATGCGAAAGCACAAGTTACTGCCACAAGTGACGGACCGGCTAACTGAATGCAGCATGAGGATGGAAAACGGGGAAACGGGCTGATCGCGATGCTAGGATCCCTGGGATGAGAGTACAAGGGTCTATGGAAACCAATCGGGTAGAATAGCAGGTGTGGGATGTCTGGGAGATTGGGTCTCTTTTGATCAGTGCCTGGGAATTTGGGCAAAGCTAGCATGTGGGCCAGATGGACCAGCGTGGTGGAACAGAAGGTGAAAGCAATGGGTGATGTGCGCGGGCATGCACAGAACAAACGGTGTAAAACATTCCTTCAGCACCCTGGCCAAAACAACCGAGAGCATCGTGACCGAAGCAACCGTGTGAATCCGTCAGTTTGTGCAGCGCCGGGACACCATCTTTGGGGCCGAGCTTGCCAGCGCCCCTGCTGAACTTCCCCTGCTGTACTTTAGGTTGCATTGGCTGCTCTTGGTTCATCATTCCTGCCAACACCCCTCGAGTTGCCACAAACTGTGCCCGGAAGCGATACTAGACCGGCCTTGAGAGTTCCCGCCCCAGGGGAACGAGGAGCGCAAGCATGGTTCTCTTGTCTCCAGATTCGTTTCTGAATCAGCTTACGAGGATGTACAGCAAACACAGGAACAGCGGCTCGGTCTTTGTGACGACCAAGAGATGTGAGACACGGCCCGCAGCGCCCTTCGATGGCCCAACACAGTTTCGGGCACCCGGCAGTCTCCGACGCTGATTATGCTTTCCGTTTTGCAGCCAACATGAAGAGCCCCAAGTATCGAGAGAAAGCCAAGGTGACCGGAGCCAACGTGCAAGGGGCAGATCGTTTATGCCTGTGGATGCCTTTCACTCAACTTGACAAATCCAGGCCCTTGAGTTCACGCCTTATTGCTTGTGCACGTGCTGCACTTGCTTTCTTCTTTCGCTCCAAACTTTTTCATCATGTCCTTTCACTGCACGGCCTGACTACGATTGTGCTCCCATGCATGTCATTTGCCCATGTTGGTGTCTTTCATGTGCAAGGACTATGAGCGCCTTCTACAGCAGGAACGCCAACACCATCTCCTGATCTGACCTTACTAGAGATACACGCCTTGAACAGTGTGTCGTTGACATTGCATGTGTTGGGAATCGATTACACACTGGATAAATTCATTTATTCATTCCCTTTTTGCCAACAATTCGTCAGTTTTGGCAAAGCAGAGCTGGGAATCGTTATGGCGAGGCACGGCAGTGCGTGGCAGATTATGATCAGACGAACTAGAGGGGCGAGCAGGCGCCATATGGACATGTGTGGCGCGATTCTCTTGCTTTGTTCATGGAATTCCGTCCATTGAGGCAAAGCAAAGCCTTGTACTCAATGCGCTCAAGAAGACTACGCGATGCATTGCTACCCAATGGATTCTAGGATAGAGTACTCTGCAGCAAGAAAGGACAAGCTGCACAGAGGGCTGGGCTCGTGCAGCCAAATGGGTTGAAATGCATTCTCCATGCAGCCTTCGGTGCTTGATGGGCAGTTGATGGGCACCATTTTTGACATCCAGGATAATTCAAGAAGCTACATCTGAAACAAATGACAGGACCATTGACACACTGTGGTGCACCAGTTTATGTCATGTCTTTTTGGTGAAAATAAAACTTGTTGCACAATGGATAGTGCTGCCTTTTTCATCCTGTAGAAGGCGATGCAGAGGTTGTTTGACAAGAGGTAGTGACTGGTGGACACCTGAAAAAGGATGAGTAGTAACTGACGATAGAAGGGCACTGGTTGCCAAGTTTTGTGATGTTCTTCATACTTGTTTGAGTGCACCACCATTGTAGGTGCCCTGCATCCCATAAGAGGGGTTGATGAGCAGTGCATGCTCCTTGTGTTGTGACAGGAGGAGGACTATGCATGCCTTGTCCGTGCAAGCGATGGCAAGAATACCATTTCCACTGTAGTGAGTATCGTAGATTGCAAGCTGCTGTTCTTCTGCAGCCTTTCTGATCTGCATTGGAAGTGTGACTGGTCCACCACACAATTCTGCTTTGGCAATGCTTGCATTCTCAGGATAGAACGCAGTGCACAGTTGAGGTGATATCGAGTCAAAAAATACTGGACACGCACTGTGGATGTATTTTATACATCCGCTGTGCGTGTTTTCAGTGGCTAATGATTCCTCACTAAGCACTGTCCAATGCATGTTATGCATTCATCACCTCAGGTGACGGCCAAAGACCACATCACCTTTCAACACTCCTATGCGACCATCCTGAAGGTATGAAACTTGTTAAATCTCAGTTCCTTGTCGACAAGCAGCTATATTGCAAATGTGACAATGATCAACTCTCCAGCACGATGATCGTGTGTTGTACACTTTCATGTGCTCCAACAACTTTCATGAGTACATGCTTTTCCCCTTCGATCAGCTTTGCTTGCTCTGCCAACTGTACTTTGAAGGTCTGAAGCCATCTCTACCAGCTGGCGACCAGCGTCAAACGTACTTCCTTCTGTGGGTGTTGCCAAATTCAAAACCTTTGTTGCCTGTTTCCTTGTGAGAAACTGCTGAAAATCAGCGACGGGTGCTTTTTGGACAGTGGTAAAGGGGACGTTGGCATGCAGCAATGGCACTGCTGACAGTGGTGAACACTTTGGGTACCTGGCGTCTGCAGGCTCGTATGACAGCCTTGAAGGAGCCTGCCCAAGCAAAGAAATCGAAATCTTCGAAACGATGACCCCCCCCTGTGCTAGGTTGCCAGTGGGCATGCAAATGCAGCAATGTGCATGATGCATGGGTGCGCCATGGCTTGCTGAAACACACAGCTGTGGACTCTGGGCAAACCTGCAGTTGGGGCCCAGCGTCGCATTGTTGCTCGCGAGGGTGCAGAAGACTTCGCCTCGTAATGGAACACCAATATGCATATCTTGCCATGCTCTGGGGCAATGGCATCAGCAGGGAGCGTGTGGAAGACCTTGTAGTGGGCCAGGATGGATGGCAGAATTTTTACTAGGGCCAAATACTTTGATTCGAGCAGACGTTGAGAAAGCCGTCCAAACATGCACGTCTGTATATATCCAGATTGCACAGTGTATGTAATGATGTGAATGGCTTTGAAAGCAAAGGCCAGCCGTCACAGCGTGCTGGATTTGTGCTGCTTCAAGCATCTCAAACATTCCGACTCGCGCCAACGAGGCCACGTGGAAGCGTGGCCCTTCACAAACGGGGGCGCTTCGTATGGCATCGATCCAAACGGACATGGTTGACAGGCAATGATGCCACATGAATGTGGCTGCCTCATCGCCACATACACGAGAACAGCGCGGTGCCCAAGTGTGCGCATTGTCGAATCGCATTCAGCGTTTGCCGCCTTCACTCTGTATGCAACCGATAAATCAACATGTGTTACAGAGCCATGAACTGAAACATCCATCAGCTCCCTTTGCTGCCCCACCAAAGCACTGTCAATGATTTCTTCAATGATGCAGTTCGCTGGCATTGTTTGGTCATTGGACTAAGGAACCGACGGCTGCGTCAACGCATGAGCATGTGTGAACATGGTTCCTGATTGATGAAGCGGTTGCCCGTCGAGGAATATGCTAAGATGCCCGTTTTCTGAGCATCCTCGAGTTGGATAGAGCTATCTAAAGTAGCTGATATCTAGTAGAGCTCTCCACCGTACAATTTGCCTGAGTGGTTGCTGGTTTGAATAACATCAATATGCCCCCCACGTAGTCAAGGCGAATTCCAGAGTCGGTCTCTCCCCACACCATACATCTACAATCCTTGGAGGATGCACTCTTGGTCCCCACTGACGCCGCCACTTTGACCGCGGGGCACAGCCTGGCCACATCCTCGTGGCACCCGCCCGTGTTTTGCCTTTTCGTGCACAACAGCAGCGCACATCACAAGAACAGATACCGGAATCTTGAGCCCACTGCTGCGAGATGTCAGAATCACTGCGCCTCCTGTCAGTGGTGGGCTTCGGCGGCTCTATCCCCAACGGCCTCATCCTGCACCCAGACGGCACCACCCTCATCTACCCCCTGGGCTCCACGATCGTCCTCAGAGACAAGGGCACCGTCGAGTCGCAGCAGTTCCTGCAGGGGCACACCGACAAGGTACAAACGGAGATGCCAGCAGGGGGCCCTGGTGCCCAGTGCATCGTTGCAGACTACGCACAGCGGGCATCCAACGAAGGGCAAATGAACCTGGGTTCAGTGTGCATGTGGGGAGGGAGATGCTTCGACTGCAGTGCGATGTCGAATGTGGCAGTCGGCCTGGCCCCACGAATCGCGTCACGCTGCGTCACGGCTTCGCTAGAGAGGCTGCAGCCTACAGACGCGGTGCTTTCAACAGCGCAACTATTCATGCCGTGCATTTTGTCGCATTCATTGAAGAAACATTATAGAAAAAGCGAGGAGTAAGGGCCCAGCTCCCTGTTTTGGTGGAGAAAAGTAGGGTCTATGTCATGTTCATTGAAACATAGGAGTACCGCGCCACGTGGGTGCAACACTATGATAAAGATCCGCAAAGCCACATTCATGAGAGAGCTGCCTCGCACTTGTTGGCAATGCACTGGATTGCACGTTGTTTCCTGGGAACACTGCCCGACGTCGCCAGCTTGGTGACAGGGCTTGCTTTGCCATGATTTTGGCAAATGTAATTGCAACGGATTTCCACATGCACCAAGCATAAAACCTAACGAGTTCTTGTTCCTGTTCCTCATCCAAGATACCAAAATGCGGCCAGCTGGGGAGGTCATTCCAGCACAGCAGAGCTGTAAATGCAGCGCAATTTGTGTACGTTTCGACGCGGCGATGTTGAGGAAACTTTCGTTGCATAGAAAGGAATTCCTTTCTGTGCTTGGGCACAGAGGATCATGTATGGCCGGGTACATTGGCGATTTTATGAGCCAGAAACACTTTCATTGAGGATATTTTGAGGTGGTCGAAGCCACGGGGAAAATAAGCCGCTGCACGCATTAGACGATTTGGGCGTTGTTGACGGACATAACGTTGATTCCACGACGCGTTCACGCATGTCCATTCTTCCGGAGGCGAGGGTCAGGAGCGAGGTCGTTTTGAAACGGCGAATGCGTTTTCGAACGCCTTGACAGGTCGTTGGAGTGCACCCTGGATGAGCCTGTCTCGGTGCGGCAGGTGTCATGCCTGGCGATATCGAGGTCCGGGAAGTACCTGGCGTCGGGCCAGGTCACCTACATGGGATTCACGGCCGACATCATCGTGTGGGACATGGAGGCAAGGGCTCTGCTTCATCGCATGAGCCTCCACAAGGTTCGTTCAAACCGGGACCAAGTAAACCTCGTTGGAGTCAAGCGAAAGCTTGCATTCGAATGAAAGGCAAGGCCCTTGCCATGTTGCGAGGTCATCGCATGGCAATGGCCTCTACATCGCATTCACAGAGGCCCTGGGCTTGTGTGAATGGTATTATGTCGGAAGGCTTGGATCGCGAAACACGCCCTGCAGGGGCCGCTTGGGAGTGGCGTGATGTTGCCTAAGCATTGAAAACGGGGTTGGATGACGGGAAAATGAGTCTTCATTAGCTGTAACGGACTCGACGATTAGCGCCCGGGAACTTTATGCCTCTTCACATGATGGGGAGCTGTTGCTGAGTATCGTCTGCATGCAATGCGGCAGGTCAAAGTTCAGGCCCTCGATTTCTCCTTTGATGAACGACGGCTCGTCTCATTGGGAGGACAAGATGACAATTCTCTGGTGAGTTGAATGTCATGATGAAATGTGCTTCGCAACAAATCACGATGAACAATTGCCAGTGTTTTCGGGGCGCCAATGCAGAAATAATATCTGCAAGGGTGCACGAGTTTCGACCGTTGTTTGTGCGCATTGCCACATCCCGGGCGTCCAAAAGTGAAATGCATACGCAGAGTCGTATCGACCTAGACAAAAGTCGGACTCTGGTTGATGCCGTCCTGTTGCTGATCATGTGTTTCTTGAATTTTTGGGTGCTGAGCTATGGGCAATCCCAGAGATCCCTGCCTTCCAGTGTGGGCACATGCTATCTGCATTGGTTCACGCTGGATAAAAAACGCACATCGAGCTCTTTCTTGCTTTTCAATTCATCACAATCCCAGTGTTCTTCGTTTTGGCCTGTGCATTCCTGCTCAAGACAACGTCGGTAAATGGGTAGAAATGTGTTTCATTTAGGTTCAGGTACACTTTATTGGTATATTACATTTAGGAACTTTTAGGGTCAGTTTTACACTAGCTATTTGGGTCTAGGTAGAAACATATACCGCGCATGAATCCCTGAGCTCCACTTGATTCCAAAACTTAGGACGCCGTTTTGTGTGCTCAAGGTTCTGTGGAATGTCGAGACGGGAGCTGCCATCTGCGGAAGCCCCACCCACTCGGATTTCACCCTCTGCGTTAAGTTCCTGAACAACTGCAGGGATGTCTTGATCACGGCGGGGAAGTACAACCTGAACGTCTGGGAGCACGACGGCCCCAACAACAAACTGCGCGAGATGGACGTGCAGCTGGGCCAGCTGAGGCGGATATTCAACTGCATTTGCATAGACAGCCAAGATCGATTCGTATACTGCGGGACAACCTCAGGCGACGTGCTTCAGGTGGGTGCCTCGCGCAGCCAAATGGCAGGAAGCTTGCTGAGAAAAACGCAACTCTGCTCGCCCGCCCGCGTTAACCTTGCCTTCAATTCAACACGTTGAATGGCGCCCAGCAGAGGCTCATTTCTCCATTCATATGAGCCCAAGGCGATGCGCGGCATTGCGGTGCTAATGTGCCCATCCTGTGCATCATTTCAGCAGCAACAGCAAATGGCCCATGCACCTACACAGTAATAGAGTCTGACGCAAAATGGCAGTGATGGAACATCTGCACCCCTTTTAATGCAGATCAGCATCGAGACGAAGCTGATGAAGAATCTCGGCATCGCAAAAGGTCCAATTTCTTTGGGCGTCACGGCCTCGTGCCACACGCCGGAAGGTCGCTTATTCGTAGGGGCGGGAGACGGCAGCATACGGCTGCTGAAGGTGCCACCGGAGGCTGCCAATCCAAAGTTGATGAAAAAAAATTCAGAGGTGGCCGTCATCAATGTGGATGGCGCCATTGCCTCCCTCGTCACCGAAGCGGAAACGCAGGCTGCCGTGTGCCTCCTCGTGGGGACGGTCAGCTGCAACCTCTATCGCATTACATGGGCGGTGAAGGAAATGAGGTACGTGAGGACAATTCTGCTGCATGCGGCCCAGTTGATTGCTGCTCCTTTCGGTCTGCCCAAACTCGGTTCATCTATCGGATGATGTTAAGCAATTCCACGAGTCAGGGATTTCTTGATTTCCTTTTTCTTGGGGGTGCAGGGGGTGGGGGTGGGGGGTGGGGGCTTGAAGAGCAGCTGCCACATCACAGCGGCGGTGTGTATGGAGTGTTGGCCGCAAACGTACTGTACCAGTGTGTATTTCACCAGTTTTGACACAGCATACATAATTCGAAGCCAAATGCTTTTTTACCTAAACGGTTGATGCAGCCTTTGCGTCAAAGAGTGGTTCCCATACACACAATGATTCGGCAATACTGCCTGGGCGATTTCAGCCGCCCAGTTATTGCTCGAGCGAACGAAGGTAGCCGCATGCACTTGGATCATCCATTGGCAACGCAAGCATCCGCCACAGTTGCGCATTTCGAGAAACAAGGCCCGAGGAGCTCACAACCAACGCGCAACTCCCACTTGTCCACAGCAGCTGCTCACGTGTGCCGCCCAGGTTCACATCCGAGCTCTTGCAGACGGCACACTCGGACAAAGTGAACGACTTGGCACTCCTGGGGGACTCCAGTGACGTGTTTGTCACCTGCGGCCTCGGCAACGTCCGGCTGTGGCACCTGGACACGTGCCGAGAGGTGCTCCGCATCCGGGTGCCCAATTTGGAGTGCCACTGTGTCGATCTCTTTCGGGACGGCTCCTGCATCGTCAGTGGATGGAGCGATGGTATGCTGGTGCGCTGAGGGACACCGGAATACGCCCTGGCTACATGCGTCCATGTCGCTACGTGTTCCATGTCGTCGTATTGCGTCAAGTATGAGCAAGGCCATGTGAGCAGATGTCGTCACATGATTTGATCATGCCGTGTACAGGACGTGATGCAAATGGCACGTCATTTCTATCACCGCCACGCAGAAATTCGCACGAATGTCTTTCATGTCCTTGTGTCCTCACCGGCAGAGCGCCCTTTGTGTCCTGAATCACAGTCTCGATACATCGTGAGACGCAATTGGCCAATGTTGTCACCCCATGTTACCAGCCATGAAGGGTGACTCCCTGTAACTGGCTTGGAGCACAGACGCCGCCTCACGATAGCTGTGGACGAGGGGTCGCTTTGTGTTCCAGTGGTCAGCTAGGTCCTTCACGTTTCCATGCTTGCCCAATGCAGCAAGCGCGATCCGAAGCAATTCATGCATGTGCCTTTTGCATCAACGCCGCTGCAATTTCAACGCCATGAAGCAGCCATCGTTATGTCTAATTACAGGGTTATTCTCCTCAACGGCTGAGCAGCACGAAGGGGTTGTAAGATTATTGCCTCTGCGCATGCTTGCAGCCAGCCTTCACCCAGCTGATGTTTAGGTTTCCGAGCATGAGCAGTTTGGGAAAACAAACGAGAACGCAATAGGAAACATACACTTATCGTCTTGTGCGCCATTTTGTTTGGGTTTCTTCCTGTCGCAAACGGAAAATCTCAATAAGCGAATCCACACAAGACAGCAACAGTAGTTGCGACAGTAGTGGCAGTACCAACAGTGTGTGAGCAGCAGTAGTAACAGTGTCTGTTGGTTGCAGGCGCCATCCGCGCCTTCGGCCCTCAGAGCGGCAAGCTGCTGTTCAGCATCCACAACGCGCACCACAAAGCCGTCACGGCCATTGCGAGCACGGGGGACTGCAACAGGATCATATCTGGCGGGGAGGAGGGAATGGTCCGCGTGTGGGGCATCAGGGCCGAGAGCCAGGTCATGGAGGCCTCCATGAAGGAGCACAAGGGGCCCGTGAACTGCATTCAGATCAAGGAGAGCACGAGCGACGAGTGCGTCAGCTGCAGCTCGGACGGCAGCTGCATCATCTGGGACCTGACCACCTTCAAGCGCCGCAACAGCCTCTTCGCCAACACCTTCTTCAAGGCCGTGGTGTACCAGAGGGATGAGAGCCAGCTGGTCACGGGAGGGACGGACAGAAAGGTGGGGCGGGCGCCTCATTCGGCTCAGGCGCTCACATCGTTTGCGTTTGCCAACTCGTGGCGCAAGCCAATGGCCAATCCGCGCTTGGGGCATGTTTGAGGCGTTCCTCACAGCGCGCAAGTTGTACAGCATCCCTCTACAATTGCGCGATTTCGATCCTGAGAGGCAGTTGCCGTGCTCGAATTGCTCTATTTCAGTCCATTTCGGCTGGCGAGTATTGGAAAATTCCGAGCTCAGCTGCGCTGCTGGTCAGGGCGTCAACGCCGTAACCCAACGTATCCTAACGTATCCTAACGTATCCTAACGCATCCTAACGTATCCCAACATATATCAACGTATCACAACGTATCCCAACATATCACAAAGTATCCCAACGTATGGCAAAATACCCCAACGCAACACAACGTATCAAAGCGTATCAGAGCGTATCACAACGTATCACAACGTATCACAACGTATCACAACGTATCACAACGTACCACAACGCATCACAAAGTGTCACAAAGTACCACAACGTTGTGACACGTTCCCCGACCACTGACGACTTTCTCATTGCCATCGCAGATCACTTACTGGGATCCATTCGACGGCCAGCCGATACGCATATTGGACGGCTCTTCGGCCGAGCCCGTAAATGCCCTGGCCATCGACCCAGCCGGCGAGACCATCGTCAGCGGGGGCTCCGACAAGTTAATAAAGTTGTGGGGATACGACGAGGGCCACTGCTACTACACCGGCGTCGCCCACAGCGGGCCCGTCGCCAAGGTTGCGATCACCCAGGACATGTCCCGAATCCTGAGCGTTGGCGCCGAGGGCGGCATTTTCGTGTGGGAGTTTGCAAAGCCCCGGCCCCTGCCCGAGGACATCCCTCTGGACGGACAGGACGCGGAGTGAACCGCTCGCCCCCGCGGGATAGGAGACTATGCGGCATTTCCTGCCAACAGTGAGGCATGAAGCGCTGAAGAGCCTTGTGTACCATACCGATGTTTTTCGTGCGGCTGGCGAGTTTCTGCACGGACGCACTGGGGCTGAAACCGTGCGCTCGTTGTGGTCAGAATGTGTGTCCACAATGGACGCCCACCCAGGCTTCTCCTCGGCAGCCTGGCAGTTTTGTCCAACCGTTTAGCGACTTTGAACAGGGAGCCCTCGTGGAAGTGAGACTGTGGGGGCGATGAGAGGGCTGTGGATTTAGGATACTAGAACGACGCGTGGGGCATGGTTGCGGCCAACTGAAACCTGAGTGCTCGCCAGGAGACGTGCACTCCTGCATCGGGCGTTGCCGCTGATAGGAGGGGGAGATTCGACGCCACTAAGCGCATATTATCTTCCCGCGATGCCTTGTGTGATACTGACAGGTAGACTACCAAGGTTTTTGGTATCCGGCGGCCGCGTTCGAGGGTGTGCGAATCTTGGAGCGATGCTACTCAAGGGTCCGTGTTTGTGATTTCAACCTTGCATCCAGCACGATATTGGCACATCAAAGCATGAGAATTCGCCAAGAGATGTCAGTATAAGTGCAGCATGCCATTTACAATTGGGTTCTGGTAGCTGCAGCATATCAAATTTGTGAACCATGAACAGGGCTGTTGAAGGGGCAAATTATCACATCTGCTGATAACATGCAAGCACAACCCCACTCCTTCCCAAAATTCGCATCTGTCCCAAATATCCTGCCAAAAGTTGCACTCGCATTCATTGCAATTCGATCAAACACCTTCATTTCAACGCACGCCTTTCCGGGGATCACTAATTTCTGAAGCTGAACCAAATTTTCGCAATCTACGAACCGATGTCAGAGGGCTGCGCTCAGGCAGGCCTGTTGACCGACTGACCGCCACAAGTGATCGCAGCCTGCCCACCGCGCCATGCGCCTGATCAGTAGGCGCCTTCAGCGCTGCTTCGATTTTTTTGGATCGGTCACTACGCGCCTCTTCCAGCATCCAAACATTTCTAATCTTCGCAGTGTATGCCTTCAAAGACCGCTCGGATGGGCGTGACGTGGGGAGCCCATCGCGCAATTCAGTTTCTTCTTCAAGGCATGCCTGAAATGCAAATCCACATTAGATGTCGGTGTGGGAGGCCACGGCTTTGCCGTGTTTGGAAGCGTTGCCTGGCCCTTGAGGACATTTGTGTCCACATCCACAAATGTCAGTCAACACACTCAATTGTCAGTCACATGATGAGCGAGTCCTTCACTTGCTCGGGTAGTCCAGTGTGTCCATCTTTTGCGTGGTAATGCGTGTTTGTTACTTTGTACGGATATTTTGGCACGCACCTGCAAACACTGGATGTCTTTCATGAGGGCTTCCTTTTCCACTGCTAAGTGCTGCCGAATCCTGCCCACCACGCTGTCAATCGCAGATATGTGCAGATCTGACCTGAGGGTTTCCACAGCTGCTTTGAGGTCCAGAGCAGGTGCAGAGGCAGTGGAAGGACGTGAAGAGGAACATTCCGAAGCGTGGCTGCTAGCTCTGGCACTCTGCTGAGCAAAAGCAGAAATAGAAAAAAAAACTACACGTTGGTGGCGAATCAGGGCGCAGCAATCTATGCGCTATTGTATCATCATGCTGTTCTTTCCAATGTCTATTCTGATACAAAGCTTCCCTGAGGAGCAGAATCAGCCTTGCAATAATAGGCTGTACTACAGGCATCCTGTCCTTGCTTGTTGAAGCCCCTCGACATAGGGGTTTTGAGTTATTGGCAATGTTTCTAATATGCACTCCTGGATGTCCGGGGCCTTGGGGCGCTGCACACTGTCTTCAGGCTGCCCTTGGTGGATGCTTTGAGACGAAGCACAAGGCAAGAACGGACCGACTGGAAATGGACGGGTGAGACACCCATCCTGCACAGCACTGAAAACAGCAATAAGACGGCCAATGTTTGCAACAAGACGGCCCTGTTACCATCATGCTGTCGCTTCAAAGGGAATGCTGCTGGCAGTGAACTAAGATCACCTGATCACAAGTACACAAACCACAAACCACATAAACTTTTGAAAGCACGCATTGTGCCATGCCAGACTGGGGCAATGCCCACTGCATCATGGTGCATGTACAGGGCAGCTGGAACTGCACACCCTGATTTCCATAATTATGAAGTTACAGTTTGCCTCCTTTCTTTGCTTTTATTCAGGCAGCCGTAGATGATGACAGTCATTGCGAAAAAAGAAATCTAGGGGAGCTCAAGGCTGTGGACAAATCGCCCTCTGTCTCTCCAAAATGACGTGGCAACTCTTTTCTATTTGCCTGCAATATTGTGGGGCCAGTGCTGCTTGTCACAGTTGCACAAATCAGAATGGGGAGGCTCTCACGATGTACAATGCAACATCCTCATCCTGCGGCGTCTCCCTGGGAAGCAAGGCCTCCAGTGCTGCTCCTTCTGACTGGGTGCATTCTTGCAACTTGTGCACAAGCATCCAAAGCTCCTCCTCCACCTGGAGAAGGGCAATCCAATTGACTACTGTGGCAGTACAGGAAAGATGCAAACACCATCACAATCCCTACGACACGTTTTCCTTGCCACAAAAAGAGACAATCAAATGCAACAAGGTACTGGGCTTAATCAGCGGCCAGAAAGGGTATTATGGCCAACTGATTCAAAGTTTTTCAGGCGAGCGGGATCCCTATACTGCAACCAAAGTTCCGCTTGGCCAAACTGAAACTTGCCGATCTGATTGTGCATCCAGATCCGTGCTCTTTCTGCCATTCCACAACATTTTGGCGTTGGAAACGAATCGTCATGGTGGTGATCCTGTCCTTCGAGGCCTCCTCGCCATGGATTCCCGCACCACCGCTGCCACAGCTCTGCAAAAGCAGGTGGACGCTGTGAAGGGCTCGCCGCCCGACCTGCCCGCGCAAAACCACAAACATGGCTGGCCCGTTCCGCTGCCGCATTCGCGTCGACGCACCAGTGACCGCCCCGCGCTGGTCAGCCCCTGCTCCTCCGGCGAATCGCCGCCCCTCTCGCGCCGCAGCCCATCCAGCACCGCCCCCAGTGCGGAGGCCTCCTCAAAGAGGGCCTCGTTCTCCTCTATGCACATACTCCCCACAACGGACTTCACCTGACAAACCCACCAGCCAACATCAAGCCCGAGGGAGCAACTTGATTTCCTGGGCCTTAAGTCTTGACGCTGAACTTTCGGTCGGTCTGATTCTGGGCACCGCGATTTCGCAGCAGCCTGGCTTCTCAATTCGGGCACCGCGGTGTTGCAGTTCGTGTTTTTGCGGGCCTGGCTTCGCTCTTGGGGTAAGTGGCCGAGTTCCAAAGGGAATGCTAGCGCGCCCAAAGGAAGGGCACGCATCTGCAGCAGCCGCGTCCGCAAGCACCAACTTCTGCATCGCCGTGCGGTGCGCGGTAGTCTAACCTCCTCTCTTTCTGACGCGGGAATGCGCTCGGCGAGGTGGGGCCACAGCAGTTGGCGCACGGTCAGAAGGTCTTTGGCGGGAATCATGTGCGACTCGCCCACCAGCGAATCCAAAGGCACTTCCTTGACTTCCAGCTGCTGCCGAGTACTCTCCGGTGGACTTCATGGTTCCGTGACTTGTGTGCAGTGGACAAGGGGCGGGGCTCTGATGTTCCAACAGCATAATGGCCTACGTTCAGACATGCCATTATGTTGCTCGAGTGGTCCAAGTGCGCGCCGTCGCCGACGACCCCACAGTGTCCAATTTCATTGATCGCGTACTTGTCATCAATTGACAAGGCAAGCCCTCTCACCGAGCCCATCAACCGAGTAAGACGCCAATGGCTCAGGGGTGTTCAACCTGTTTTGGAGCAACTGATGTTGCATTTGGGAGTTCCAATTTTGGGCGTGACCAGCTACAGATGGACCATGGAACTTTGGGGTGAGGAAGTGCTACATGTCGCGCCTCTGAAAAGCATCACGGTGGCATGATTGATTTACCAGGCTGGGGACATTAATCATGGCGCGTCGCATGACCACACGGGTGGCGTGCAGATAAAATGAAATGATGAGGGGCAGAAAAACAATCTTGGATGTGTACGCGCCCGACATCGCCCACAACGTGCAACGGCACCGCTTTGTCTTTGGAAGGCAATTCCAAACAAAGGAATTCAGCCTCTGAATAGCTCATAAGCACAGAGCTTGCGAACCAAAGCAGGCAGAGTGGTTCTCGGCGGTTTGTCCGTGGGTCGTGCTCATTGTTGTCAAACAGTCCCCCTCCGCTTCCCATCTCTTCCTGTTTGAAGCTGAATACGGCGTTCGCCGGCAGGCCAAGCCCGTCTTGACCGCTCTGAGAGCCAAGGAGCCCTGTGTTCGAGCCCGAGGCACCACAGATGGTGGCCCAATGAGTGTGCCCATGGTTGGCAGCAGCCGTAGACACAGATGGGCTAATCAGCGCTTGGAGGGATACTATTCTGGTCAAAAAGCTCTCAGAGGGTGGTTTGAACGGTTCACTCGTGCACTGACTGAGTGCCACGCATGCCCAAGTGCATGTATGTGGCATGCATCCTATTGGCAGGCATGGAGGACACCAGCAAGATTGTGGATCGCGGATCGTGGTGGGTGGAGATGTCTGCATAACTCTTGTCCAATGAAATCTCCGAAAGAAACACCTTGGTGCAGTGGATTTTTCTGACGATCTGCCTTGATGTTGTGAGACTGGAAACACCACTTCACTAACTCGTTTGACTATCACATGACTCCAGCTTGGGCCTGTGCATCACGTTCGAGCACTAGAAACACAGTCACATACCCATGCAATGGTCAGCTCATCGGGTGGCCCAGGATATTAACGCGGCAGATACGATGCAACGGATAGTGCCCAAAAGAGAAAGCCGCTAGGGATGCCTAGGGACACCGAGGGCTTCTGCAGAAACAAGGCGAAAGAAACGTTTCACAGCCACACCGTCTCTGGGCACCACAACAAGCACTGCCAATCATTCCATCCACTGCGGCAGCAAGGAATCTCAAGGTTCGGACTCATTCCCGACAGCTCACCAACCAGGCCCTAAAACACTTTTCACCTGCTGAATTGACAAAAACTGAACACCGCAAACCCAGGTTCTTCACTCTCTCAAGGGAGGCGCACTCACTCAGTCCAACAAAGGCATGATCGCCACACATCTGCAGCACTGCTCACATCGTCAGCTCCATGATGGCTGAAACAATATCCTGGTCGGAATTTCTGAGCGACTTGACTGCCTTGGCCCTGGAGACGTTCGCTTGGGTCATCACAAGTTCGATGTCCTTGGGCTCCAGGCCAGTCTCGTCCACCTCCTCCCCATCTTCCTCCACCTCCACCAGCGCAGTCTCTGGTTTTTCATCCAGAGGCTCTGGCTCAGGTTGGATCCGGAACGGCTCGGCAGCAGCCGCCTGGCTCTGCGCTGACAAGTCCTCAATCTTGGCTTCGCCAAAGATTATGAATGTGTCCGATGCTGGGCTCTTGAAGACGTCTGGCTTGGATATCACGAAGAGAATCTGCACAAGAAGGCGTTGCACGAAAGGTGCTTAGGTCAAGGGACCGTGGGGAAGGCGCTCCACGGTGGGGCGCGGGGGGTGCAGTACGTGTGCTGACGAAGGAGGCAGCTGAGACAGCACCATGTTTCCTTGCCAAAGCAAGTAAAGACAACCTGTTGGATGCACATCTACAGCAGGAAACAGCCATGGGATGCAGCGGCTGGCAGTAGGTGCCAATGTATGGGCTGGTGTCATCTGCCAAACCTCTTTTGCATTGGGAAATTTCGCAGCACAGGAAGTTGGATGTTGTCCATTGCAAATGGCTGGAAGTTTCACAGTGAGCACAGGGTAAAAGGCACGCTCCCCGACATCCATTACAAGGTTCTCGCGTCGAGTTCAAAGCGCACGTGCCCCCGTCCAGCCTCCCTCCTTTCCCGCCACCCACGTTCTTGCTCTTCTTGATCGTCACCCGCTGCACGCCCGGCACGGGCTTCATGCCCAATTTTTGCATCGCCTTCCTGCTCTTCTTCTCCGAGCGTGACTGCTTCCCCCTGCCGGTAGCGCCATCTGCAGCACAGCGCGACACGCCAAACAACGTGAAAAGCACGCCCCCCTGCAAGACCCCAGATTGCTTGCGGCGCAATTCAAGATGCATTCAGCGCCGCCGACGCTGTGAATGCCCTCTCCTTACCTCCTTCCCCGATGTCGTCGCCGTCCTCATCGCTGCTGACCTCGTCATCGTCGTCGGGCACGTCCTGCATCCCGAAACGCTCAGCGAGCCAACAAAATGGGGCTCCGCCAGAATCGACGCCCAACTTGGAGGGCAGCGACCCCCGACAAAGCACGGGCGCCGAGTGCCCACCTCGATCACTTCTATTTCTTCCTCCTGTTTGGTCATCTTGCGATTCGCTGTGGGGGAGCGGAGGCGGCTCGGGGAGAGAGTCCGGTCGAGGGGTGGCAGAGGCACCGGCGCGAACAGCACACACCCTGTTGCGGTGGCCGGCTTTGCGAGGTGGGTCTGGCGCGGGGGGCCATTAAATGACATTGAACCGCCTAAATTGACCTTGATGTGGCTGGCGCATCGCAGACCCCGCACAAGGCGGGCACCCAGCGCGGGAGCGGGAAAAGGGAATGGCGCACGCAACGCAAGCATGTTCCATACGGAGCGTGGCACGCACGAGCCTGGGGAAAGGATGCTTGGAAAGGGGGGGCTGTTATTAGCCTGTCACAAATCTCCTCGAGAAGAGGGTACGAACACAAATAGCAACGGTGGGGAAACGGAGGGGGCACAAGCGCCGGGACGGAAAAACACAAACAAGCAGGACAGAACGAGGACGAGGCCACCAGCATATTTGAGCTCCGAACGTCCCAAGAGATCCTCATTGGGATGTTTATTGCAGTTTTCAGCGGCCTTGCGAGGGCGATGGTCGCCCCCCCAGGCCACACACAACACACATTAACCCGCGTGGTCATCGCCAGCTGGTCACCAGCACGACGTAATCCGGACAAGCCCCCACCCCGGGTTCCCGTCTCCTGCGGATCGACACCGACACGCCCATTGTTTGCACGTCGCCGCTCCCCCTTGGCGCCCCGCCGCACCGAACATTCTCGCCCTCGGCCCCACCGCCGCGACCGCCCTTGCTCCGCGCCGAGATGCCGGCCAGAGCCGGAGACAGGCAGCCGTCGGGCCGCCAGACGCCATTCCGATGGCTCCAGGATGCGGCCCACGCGACGAGCGCCTCCCGCGTGGTGCAGCGCGTTCTGGGCGTGGACCGCAAGGCCAGCAACCGAGCTGGCCCGTCCGCCAATCCCGGTGCAGATCGCGAGGCGGGCGCGGCGGTGGCGCCAAACTCGGTGGTGAGGTGTCCGTGGGGTCGATGGTGAACGGCCTGGACGCTTGGCTTACTTTGCGGTTTGCGTGGGCCCCCTCGGGTGCCCCTGAGCTTTCTGGGCTGACAGTCCATCACTGATTCAGTGCTGGCGCCGGGCGGCGGTGGTTCAAGGCTCAATCGGAATCGATGGGTGCAATGGACCCGCCGTCAGGTCCCTGGACGCGGGAGAAAATGCTGTTCATCGGCAGGGTCGGGAGTAGACATGGATTGTGAATCGGCATGCCGTGTCTGCCAAGGGCTCCCCAGCTTTCAGGAGTACCTGGGGCCCCTTGGCGCTTGTCGGCGCCGTGCGGCCGCTGTCTGTGAAGAAAACGGGACCAAAGGCACCCGCCCGCACACAAGGAAAGCGCGGAGCCTTCCACTGGCATCATGGAAAACGAGCCCAACGCGGCACCGGCAGCTCCCGATAAGAAAATCGGGCGCCTTCGGCGGCCGACAGGGCAGGTGCTGCCGAGCAGCACCCATTTCTGATCTTCGTGCGCCTTGGCGCAGGTGGTCGCAGATGTTTTGATCCATGCTGTGTAGCAGTTTGTTTTGCATGAGGTCCGCGGCCTCCGGGAGTGGAAGGCCCCCGGTCGCTGGGGGGTCGCGCGGCGGTTGGCTGTTGATCGGAATGTTGGTGGAGGCTGGCGAGGGATCTTTTGACCTCGTGGCCGCCGAGTGTCGTGCGGCTGCGCCCAAGCGAGCTGTCGTGGCTGGTCTCGTTGCCGCTCTGGAGCACACGAGCTTGTGTGCAATCGGGCCGGGCCCCTTTTGAGGAACGGGGCCGTTTCGTTGTTGGAGGTGATCCTTGCGGCATCACCACGGATGTCTCCGTTTGAGATGGAGCGCAACGACAGAGCTTGTCAGCGCGTCGCTGAGTTGTGGAACCGAACTTCACATACGGAAACTGGCAGGACGCGCAGCCAGCTTCGCCACGCTAGCTGGCCTCACGACGAGGCTCTGCCCCGGCCACCGACAGCGCGGTGGTATTCGGTTTTAGATCGCCTGGCTCAACCGTTAACGCACCAACAGACTCTTGATTGAAGAAAGTGTTGAGCCCTGGGGCAACGGCCATTCAAAGGCCTTTCGAATAGACACGCCAGCCGCCTGCCCATTTGATCACTTAACAGGAAGCTCTACTGCAAAGCTTATTGCTGCAGGCACAATTTATTGGAAAAAATTGACCTCACTCTGGAGACTGCTTTTCCTGAGGAGGGTATCATGATTCATGGTGAAGTTGCCACCTGGTTTGCGTTCACCCTGGGGTGAACTTGAGTGATTGCTTTCTCTTACTCTGTGCCCTGCCAAGCCTTTTCCTGCAGCGTTTGGAGGCTTGTGGACTGTTATGCTCTGTTGGTGTGAAAGAGCGCCTGTTTTGCAGGAAGACAAGGTGTCTGCTGCCCTGCGCTCCAACGCCACTTGCAGCATCTGCATGGACATCCTTGCTGCCCCACATCGCAACTTTTGTGGCCATGCCTTCTGCGGCGCTTGCCTTGGAAGCTGGGCTGAGAAAGGCGCACGGCTGAGGTGCCCTGTCTGCCGGAAGCGCCTCCGAGACGTGGTCCCTGATGTTGTGTTGGAGGGTTTTATTGACAGTCTGTCAGCGTCAGGCTTGTCAAGTGAAGACCTCGCAAATCTGAAGGAGCGCAGCCATTCCTGGGCAGATGTGGTGGGTGACAGGACTGCTCAGTGAATTCCTTTGTTAGTACTTGTTGAAAGGGCTACCAGAACTCAATTGTGTCAATTGGGTGGTGTGATATGCTCCGATGCAAGCAGAGTCTTGGTTTAATGCGAAAATGCTGCATGACTGTAGTGAATGGATTTGTGATCGTGTTCCCTGGATTTATAACGCTTTCTGCCGCAGAAAGAGGAAATGTATGAGTCGTGGATAAGGATGGGAATAAAAGTGGACAACAGTAAAGAGAGCTCTGGGGATTGCAGCACAGATGATAGTGAGGATGGTGACGAACGTCCTGTACTTGATGACCTGTATGATGGTGAGTGCCTGTCAAGGGGCCTGTGCAACATGACTTCCTCATCTGGCATTGTGCAAGCCGATCGGACCTCTGGGTGCAGCTTCTGGCATCCAATTGCAAACATTGGAGAGTTGTGCCCAAGGGGGGCTGTAGGTGACAGTACACATCGCCACACTGTTGACAACAGTACACCTTGACATGCTCTTTGTTTGATCTGCTGAGGTCACTGTTGTGGATTTGAGGCGATATCGCGTTCTGCCCCTCCTGGATGAATGGCCTCGGCTTCCCATTTTCCTACAATAAACAAAGCAGGGAATTGCTCGCTGAGGTCCGCCAAGATGTCACAGATGATGTGAACTTGGTGTTGAAGTATTATGCAGAAACATCATGAATTGAATATCTATTGAAAAGCGATTGAGCGGAAATGCACTGACTGTTGCCACTGTTTTGTGTCCCAGACCCCAACGAAGATTTGGATATTGATACCATTCGTGCACTCGAGAGACTCGAACTTACTGACTCTGACTCAGATGACGAGCCCCAGTGCGTGACCCCAGGCAACCTGGACTGGACAAGCCCGCTGTACGATCCCATAGAATGGAATTTCGACGATCACCCAGATGCTGCCGATCCTGATTCCGAAATCCAGACCTCGACTGACATTGAAGATCCGGTGCTCGAGGGCGAGCAGAACAGCGAGTGGGATCGGCCAATTGACGACCCTACATCCACAGAGTGGAGTTTCGATGCTCAGTTGGAAGCCGTCGATCCAAGCTCTGATGCCACACTGGTGCCAGAACTGTTTCGCATGCGGCTGCAGAAAATGTACGAGAGGGGAGGGGAGGGATGGAACTTGTACGAGTGCAGTGTTGGAGACGTGGACCCAGAGTCGGAAGGCGAAACAGAATCCGGCAGCGATCACAGGGAGCAGCTGTTGGGGGGCAGAGCATCTGAGGACGCTGGCTGCGACTGTTCTGACCTTTGTGGTGAGGCAGTAGATCGGCATAGGCTGGTGGCATGGGAAGCTCCAGGCGAAGGAGCGAGAACAAGCTCAGGTGAGGACTATGGAGAGAACGGGTGCCCCTTTGGATCAGATGGAGAGCTGTCCCTGCCAGACCCATCGATGACCCATGACTTCTTGGACTATCCTCACTACTTTGATGAAGAGCCACATGCCCTGGAATCGAGCCAGGGTGCCACAGATTCGGAGCACGGGGGCCTCATCAGCAGCGAAGGTCAGCCGTCTGAGTGGGAGGGTCTGTACGATGCAGCCTCGGAGTGGCTGGCCCTCGAGTGTGGAACAGCAGACCCGGATCTTGAATCAGGGGAGGAGACCAGCAGCAGTGATGCAGAAGACTGTGGGGATGTTGGGGCCGATGTCTGTGATGATGGGCCTTCATGGTCCGACTACGGACAAGACAGCGGCTGCAGTTTCAGCGGTTGTGGGATTGAGGGCGAACAGCCGGATGACTCGTATTCAGATCCCAGTGGGGTGCCAAGCTGTGACTGCAATTGCGACGATGGTTGGGAGGCTGCCTCCAGCCTTGGATTGCCTTCGCAGTGTGAGGATTCAGGGTCTGAGTGAGCGACAGACTGGGAAGGTCCTCGTTTTCAGCACTTCCGAGGCCTGTCAGGGGCACGACGTGCCCCTGCTTATGCTGACCAGTGCTTCTTGGGGTTAGGGAACAGCAGGAGTGGATGTGAGGTGATAAGGCGGTTCTGACGTGTTGCGCCCCGAACAGAGGCTGGAAACCAACGGTTTGCATTTTTCTTTGCTGCCTTCTGGACCAGGGTGATAAAGTTTTAGTGGGGCTTGTTGCTTGGAAGTGGGATGCGTGAGATCCAGATGTGCCATGCATCTGTGGCCATTCCCATCTCATAAATGAGAGTGGTCCACATTTGTGGTGGAGGCTCTACACAGAACAAAACTCGCCGCCTGCTCTCTCCATATTCATGTCATGTGCATTGTGACGCAATGCTGTATGTTTGGCACTGGGCTGGAGAGGTGCGTGATCAATGGCAAAGCGCGTTGAAATCGCAGCAGGGTTAGCCCTTCTCACCAGAATGAACATGCGGAACTTCTGACATATATATGGACAGCACGGCGACAATGCTCGTATTTGTCGAGGCCAAGAGCATCTTGTGTGCTGAGGCCTCCACACACACAGTGTGTGGCACTCCATCCTCTGCTACAAGACACCAATGTTGCCAGATACATCTGCCAGATAGTCCAGGTGCCCAATTTCGCCGTCGCCAAATTTGGGGCAAGGCTTTGCTTTGTCATACGCAGCATAGTGTGCTCAATGGACAGCATTTCACACCGCGCCGACTAATCGCGAGAACTCCATTCCGGTAGTATTGGTTTGGAGGAGGCGGTCAGGGGCCCTTCTAGCGCGTCACGCATCATGTGCCCCGTAACTGGACCGTCCGTCCTTTCGGTCCAGGTGTGGCGTTCCGAAGTTCGTTGAAGGTCCTCACTGAGCACCCGTACCATCGCGGGGTATGATGAGCACTGCTTATTGTACGGATGCCAGCAACCACAACAGCACAGCCACTCGTACCGCACAAGCAGTGCGCGTATTGGCCGACGCTCCACCGCGCACAGCTGTAGATAACGCCATCAAACAAAGTCCACCTACAGCAGTGTTTGTGTTGTTGGGATCATCAGTTACTTCGCATATGACACATGTCTGCTTCAAGCAGATCGGATAGGTCATTGGATGGACGCAACAACAAAGGCGATTGCAATGGCAAAGACGGTTGTTGAATTCAGCGAGTGCCACTGCAGACTACCCTGCAATGCAGGAGAGCTTGACAGTTGGGCTTGAGTTGTGTCGTGCCCCAGTCTCACCACGGGCCCGCTCAACTCCTCGGTATTCACTTGTCGACAACACATGACAAGTCCATGTGCATTGCAGGCGATGGCGGCCACAGCAACGTCCAAAAAGCGACTGTTCGTTCATCATTGGCCTAGATCTGCATGCTCGCCGTTTCCACAAAGGAAACGGGCAGCTTGAGACTGAGGTATCCATGGCCATTCCGATATGGTCCGACAAGGCTAAGCCGCAATCATTTAAAAGAGGTTTGCGATGTGCGAAGTTCGCTTGCCGCCGCGTGGAGTATTGCACAAATGCTGCATACTCGCACTTAAAACACGCCCATCATCTCCACACAACGGTTTGGCTGCTTCTAAGGCGGGTTTCCTTTTTCTAAGGCACAGCAGGTCATTGCCTTCGATCCAAAGTCCTCGACGGAAATCATATTAATAAACTGGAGCAGGAAGGCCATGCTCCGTACTTAATATGGTTATCGAAACAATAATCTCCTATTGCTTGTACCCTGAAAACTGCAAACGCATGCTTGGATTGCAGGCCCAATCCCATTGATGACAGACAAGCTTGTCAGCACATGACAAGGCAAGCCCTTTCAGCAAGTTAGAGAGGTCGGGCAAGGCATGCATGGTCTGCTGACGAACTGTTGGCAAACAAATGGATTCACCACCAGGGGAAAAGTAGAGAAGACCTCCAACTCCTCGAATCTGTGTTCTTAAGGTGTGAGGAAATATCTTTGAATAAAAGGCCCCAAATTCCGACGGCCGTAGGCCCGGTCGTCTTCCACGGCGGCGGCTGGAATGAGGGTCGCGGCGTGCGCAGGGCAACATCCTGAGCACCGCGCTTGGAATGCAGCAGCAAGCTCACCGCCCACCAGCCACGCCGATCAGCAGGGCAGTACCAACTGCAGCGGCCACCCTGCGTTGCTGGCCCCCAGCGCGGGAAGGCGCAGCACAGCCCTGCACCAGCCGGTTACTTCGACCGACGCCCTCGATTACCAAGACGTCGAGGTACACTTTGTCCGATGTCGCCGTGCATGTGCGCTCGTTCTGGCAAGATCGCAGCGCATGAGGAGGCAGCATGATTTGAATGACGCGGCAGCCGTGTCCGCCGTGGATGTCTCCCGGCCCCTTTTGGCACCTCCAGCTCGGGGGGCTTCCGCTGCCGTTCGCCTTCCTCTCGCCTTTGACCCGTCAGCCCCGCTGCGGCCCCAACGGCCGTCTCCGCGGCAAACAGTCCACCCACGAGGCGCCTGGAGCCCGCGCGACTGTCCCAAGGCGCCATTCGGGCCCCCATCCCATCCGTGCTGCGACCAAGGTAAATCGCTGGTCCCCGTGACCCAACCGCCAAAGTGGCGTTCCGCTCGATCGTGCTGGATCTCCAGAAAGTCGCCTCACTGTTGGCCCCGGGGCAGGTGAACCGACTTTGGGGATCCGAAGACCGATCGCAGGAGCAGCCGGCGGCCTTAACGGGGGGCTGGGCCGGTGGGTGGGCAATGTATTGGGCCTGTGGTTTGGCCCCACGTGGGAAAGCGGATGGGGTTGAATCGTTGCGCGGGACGTCGCTTGGCGCATTGGTCTTATGTTGACGGTGCGCGTGCGCCTGGCGCAGGTGGTGCGACGCCTGGGGTGTGCATCGAAGGCCGCGCTGCCGCTCGCGCCCGGCTGTGCCGGCTGCCGGCAAATCAGAGGAGAAGGACACTGTAGGCTGGGAGCTGTGTGTGACAGAGTCACTCAGCTGAACAGAGTCGAGACATAACAGGCATCGCAAGGAGGCGCAGGGTTGTGTGCGGCTGGTGAATTGCTGAGCCTGATGCTTCTAGCGGTGATTGCCAAGCGCCAAGAGAGTAGGGAGGCTGGGACCTTGGGCTTGCGGGTGGGATTCCGCGCAGTTGCCCTCTAGACGTGGCGCCTCTCCTTGGTGGCCGTCCGGGGAGAGCGACCGGCGGCAGCGAAGCCTGGCGGGAAAAAGAAACAACACGGATAAGAAGAACGAGGGAGGGAACTCGGGAACGCGATCCACGGGCGAGCTGGCTGGCGGCAGGGATGGCCGACGTCGTGGGGCACGCGGTGTCCGTGCACGAGTACGCGCGCCAGTTCGTGGTGAAGGTCACGCACGACGACAGGTACCGGTCGGCCCAGGAGCTCGACCGGGCGGGGCGCTCCCTCTACGCCCTGCTGCGGCAGCTGGCGCAGGACGGCGATCGCGAGGACGTCCGCGCGACGTTCAAGACGCTGAAGTGCGAGTTTGGATCTCAGTGGAGGCGGGCGTCGCCCGCGCGCCGCGTGGACGTGCTTGACCGCCTGTTCGCCATCCTGGACGTGGTGCACAAGGAGTGCATGAAGAGCGCGCGGCCCGAGGCGGGCGGCGGGCCTGCGAACGCCGTGATCCTGGAGGAGTTCCGGCTCAGGGTGGCCAAGATGAATAAACGCGGCGCTCCGGGAGGACCTCAAGACGTGGAAGAGGGAGGCCACCGATCCCCCCGAGGACGTCCCTCTCCCTGAGATCCAACGGCCAATTCCCGGAAACGAGCAAGTAGGGAAGATGGGATTTTCATCGCCCCGCCGGGCGCCGGAACGCGGCGAGAATGGCCGGCAGGGGGGCCAGGAGGCCGCCGCGCCGGCCACGCCCCCGGAGGCCCCGCCTCTGATGCCCCGGCTGTCCCTGTTGCGCGGCATGTCGGGGAACCTGATCAACCTCGACGACGTCGGCGCCGCGTTCTCCCCCAAGGCGGCCTCCAAGCTCGCGTCGATCGAGTCGGACGCTGACTCCGCGGCGCTCAGCCCGCGGCCCGCCGGCGATCCGCTGCCAAACCCCCATTCGAGCAACGGCGGCGCCTGGGTAACCTTCGCGGCTCAAAATCAAACACCTGGGCCCCTGCGCACGGTATCCGAGGGTAGTGCGGTGTGGGAGGCGCGATCCCCGTGGGAAACCGCGGCGCGAGCGGCAGACGGCATCCCCAACGGCTCGGCCAGGCGTCCCAACCCGCTGGCCAGTCCCTTTGGCGAGAGTCGTCATCAGGTTTTCGGTCAAGCGCCATCGGCCGTGGGGGCTGCGGCAGCGAATGGGGGGCTGATGGGCTTGCCCGGGACGCCGCCCGGACCCAGGTGCACGGCTCCCACCGCGTCGTCGCACAGGCTTGGGGGGAAACAGAGCGGGAAGGGGGCCCACGGCATGGCGCACGGGAGGCGGATGGCGGGTGGGAACAAGGCTGGCCTCGCGCGGCGCCTGTACCAGCAGCCGATGGAAGCGCTGGAGGCGCTGGACCCGTTGAATGGGCGGGTGTAGGCGCTGCGGCGATCTGCGCTGCTGGCGCCGTCCCTTCCGCTTGTTAGACTTGGCAGAGGTGCCGGCGGCGGACGTCGAGGATGGCCAGACAAGGCCGTGCGCGGTGTGCAGTGGCGTTCTGGAAAGTTTTTGGGGATGGCGTCTTGTTTCGGGATGGATTTTGTTTCTTGGTGGCGTTTTTGGGGCTTGTTCCTTCTGGGGATTAGGGAGTGCTGCAGGGCACTGAAGAGGGGCGACGTGCAGCCGGGGGCTGGGGGTGGGAATGCATGGGGAGAAGAAAAGGGGATTTGTGGGAGCACACGGTGCATCGGATGTATCTAACACCAAAAGCTGAGGCAAAGTTACGTTAAGGCTGCTGGCCAGCTCTGCGACTGGGCCTTGTGGCCAGAGTTGTGGAGCTGCGACAGTTTTCTTGCATGGGCACGTTGCCGAACACTAGGAGTAGCTTTGTGCCCTGGAGGCCCATTTACAAACGATCTCCAGCGGCGCTTTTTCAGGGCAGACGCGCACAGTCGAGCGCCAAATGTCCATACACGCCCATGAATGTTACATGTACTGAAAATTTGTCATCATTAAAAATGACGGCCCCCACAAATGCTACCCATTTTGCGGTGGGATCGACCACGCCGCAAGCCACAAAGCCACCGTCCAAAGCACCCGGCGCTCATTCGCGGTGCCCAAAGCGCCCAGCGGGGGGGCGCCAAACCAAAGGCGTTCGCTGCACGGCGCCTGTCCATATTCCGGCCTCCTGCACTTGCTCCACCACCAGACGAGGCACCCCCGAGTCGGCTCGCAGAATGCAACTGCCGGCCGGGATGCCATCCACGGCGCCAATGTGCGCCCAGCGGCGACAGATCGCCCCGACCCATGCTCGTTGTTGGTTCCAGCCTCGTTCGCTAGTTCCCAACTGGCGGCTACGGATGGGGGGCCGATACCGGAGTGCCTCAAGGGCAGGCGGTGAAAACTCGGACGCGATTGAAAGCATGACGGAGGAGAAGGCCATGGCTGTGCTGGGCGTCGGCGAACACGACCCGTTCGACAAGGTCGTGCGCGCGAAGAACCGGCTGCTCGTGAGGGCCGGGCGGTGCGAAGAGAGGCGGCGTGAGGTGCGTTTGCGTCCTGATGTATTAAAATCCCCGATAATTTGGTCAGAGAATAGAGCACCCCCTCCTAAGCAAGTATACAGCGGGCCCTGTTCCGCTGGGGGTGCCACCGCCGGAAAGAATGATATCGGAAGCATGTTGCACGCACCAGACCCACAAATATGTACTCGGTGCGCGTGTGTGTTGCGGGGTGTTGTTTCGGAAGTGGAGAGCGTTGGACCGCGCCATTGGGACGAATCCACGATTGGAACTTCTCGGGTTTGAAGCCAGAGACGTGAGGCGACGGGAGTGAAAACGCAAATGACGAAGGCGTGGATGTGAGTGCCGGTGGAGCTGCAGCAGCGGACATCGGCCCGGCCCTTCGAATCTCGATTGAAGACGGAAACGACACACGTCACACGATGGTTGATTCTGCTGGTCAGCGTTTATGTGAGGCCCTTCTCTGCACTGAAGAATATGTTGCAGAAGTCTCGGAGTGCAGCAGCAGCAGTGCGCAGCACGGGGCGCAGTGATTCGTCTGCTTGTCCAGCAGAACCGTCGCCGTGTGAAAGAGCGCCGTGGACCCCGTCCAGGTCACGACCAAGTCGTTGGATTTGAGCATGGCGAAAGGTTGAGCTGATTGTTGGACGGGATCCGGGACGGCAAGGGATGCTCTCTGCGCCGGATTGTCATCCGACTTGCCAACAATGCAACCGCTTTGGTGCGGACGGACAAATGAATGATCGAATGGATAGAAGAAATGATACGACGGTGGATAGGGTGCGTGTGCATTGGCTTTTCAAGCCAGAGGACATGGCAGGCGAAGAGAAACCACAAAATCAGGAGGTTGTTTTGACCACATATTGTTCCACTGTAAAACAAGCAAGGGGCAAATGTGTGGTCTGATTCAAGGGACCATGTGTGGATGGACAACAGATTGAAGACGCCTATGACTTGCTTCTGATGGCAAGCATGAGAAGGAGGGTGGAGGGAAGTGCAGCTGTCCCAGCCAGTGTGCGATTTGCAGACGTCCCACGGCTCAACCCAAACCGAAAGGTGACTATATCAACTGGCACCTAGATGCAGCCTATTATTCCACAGAGATCAATCAAAGCTGTACCTGCGGGACTATTTACCAACAAGTATCACAACAGCCATAGTTCAAAGGGCCAATGAGTGGCACGGTTGCCCTTCTTTCACAACATTCAAGCGGGCAACCAGGTTTGCATGTTGCAGCACTGCTGGTGGCAACCTCCCTGCTGGTCTTGCATTTTGCTTTGTACTGACTTTGCGTGCAACACTCTTCGCAGGCACAAGAATTCTTCAGTCAGCTCCCAACCAATGGCATCAGCGTCAAGGCACCCACACAGAGAGGATTGATGAACAATGCACTCGTTTTTTTGCCTTTGATTACCTGGGCATTCCTGCAGGTGGGCCTGCACTGCCTCACTGCTTGCCATGCATTGCTGTCCTTTCTTATTGATGCGCAGTTGTGAAGTGACCTGCTTTGTGAGAATACATCCCTCAAGGCGGGCCCATAGTTGTGCGCTTGTATCAGCATGCACCTTTGCCTTCCTTTTATTTGATGTCCAGATATTACATCACATTTACAAGTCCAGTTGCCACCTTTTTGTTGGTTGTTGTGTTTGTGCTACAAATGTTCTTAAGCTTGTTCCTTTCTGTGGGATTCATGCACAGAAGCTGGTGGTGTTCGGCTTCCGAGTATTTAATCAACAGAGAGGAGCGTGTGCCGTGCCATATGCAGGGGTTTCCCTTCTGTAGCATGCCCATTTGCCAGGTTTTTCCCCACATTGCAGAACACGATGCACAAACCTGTGCTTGCAACAGGAACACACAGCAAAAAGCTGCATGACAAGAACCAGAATCTGAACTACAAGGGGCCCGTACCAGGGGAGGTAGATCGTTTTCTTGCCACCTGGTCAAAAGGCTGATGGGCTGTGTCTGACTTGTGACAGGGTGTCACTCTGCCTCACGAATTCCCAGATGACAGTGTCCCTGGCTTCCCGATTGCAGTTGGCGTTTTTTGGACACTGTATTCCTTCAGGGAACATCGACGCATGAGTATGGGTAAGTCCTGCAACCCAAAATCTAACATCTGAAGTTGTGCTGCAGCTGATAATCCACATTAAACCATCTCTAGGGCTCACTAGGGCACTAGGGTAGATGGATTGCATGCTCAACAATATGAATATTGCAAAATGGTGTCCAACATGCTGTACAATAGATGGGCCTGGCCAGTGGGCTGAATTTCCAGTGCTGCTTTGCTTTACACTGCAACCCCTTCATCTTCAGCTTGCATGCCTTTTGGCAAACATCTCCCTTTTCCACGAAAGCTGTATGTAGTTGTCGGTGTCTGAAACCTGGACCTAAAAGAAGATGAGGTGTCAAGTGAGCAGTACATTTTGATCTTCCCTTGTGCAGGCAGTGCTTTGGGCTACACCTTTGCCAGTTTTCTAGCTGGCGCCCTAGCTGGAGACTTCGTCGAGTCTATGGTCAGGGTGGATCTGCATCCCCTGGGGGTAAGCGCAGAGGCACTATGTACAGCATCTACCACAATTGAGGCACGTTTTGATCATCGCTTGCACAGGACAACAATGAAGGGAATGGCAAGGATTGTGGCTGTTTTTGGTTTCGTTTGTTCAACTCTAGGTGGATCAGCACACACTATTCTGTGGTTGATGGTATCTCCTATGCTGTTGCAAGTGGAAAAATTCCTTGTGCAATTTGGCTGTTAGGGGTTTCTCCAATAGGGGACCTGTTCTCTGTCTCAACATGCATGCAGTGTTGTGAAAATGCTTCCTGAGCTCTACCAGTGACACACAGTGTGTGTCACTTGCCCGAGTGTGATGACATTCTGTGACAGTTTTTGCTTGCATGTGCTGTTTTGTGCCAAAGGAATTTCATTAGGATCATCCTGCTGTTGGCCTGACTGCTGTGCATCTGAAATCGATGGAATCGCTCGCAATGTACGAACAGCGGTCTCCCACACTCGGCAAACAAAGGGCCACTCTGCAGGGCCTTCACCTTCCTTGCGAGCGTTTTGAGTGTGCTTGCCACATTTGCTCATGCCAGCTACCACCAGCTGCCTATAATCCAAGAGCCATCGCTGGTCTTGCCCCTCACAGCCTAGTGAAGGGGAATAAACAAAGTTGTGCAGGATGTCGTGTTTGAGGCACAAGGGTAGTACTTTGTCACTTTCTGGCAATTCAATCGATTGGATTGATTTTGCAGGCGATGCATTCCCCAGCCACAGTCGTTGGCGAATTCACTCTGATGAGCCTATGGGCTACCGCAACATTGATGGCGTGATAGTTGCTTTGCTTGCAGCAAAAGGTGAACAGGGCTTGCAGCGTTTTATGTATTGCAGGGCCACGGGGCAGTGCAGTGGGGACGATTTAGTCGCGGGCTGCAGCCCATGGCCATGGAAGCTGGGAGGATGTCTCTTTTTATGCTTCAGTGTACAATACAATGAGCAAGATAAAACACTGTTGATGGGAACTGTACTTCCGGTTTGTTTGTGCAAAATCATATATGGCACCTACAACTGGGGATGCAATGCGATAGTTAGGTTTTAAGGACTGTGCGAGTTGTGCCGGTCGGGTGACTGCTCCGAGAATGGCAGCCAGGGCATCCGGATAACAGAGCGTGTGCTTGGCGATCAGTATGGTCAGAATTGCTTGACTTGAGGCTGGAGTGTGGCACCTGCCATGTGCGCAATTATGACAGTTGGAGCATGCTTACAGCACAGCGCTCTGAATTCATTGGAACAAGCTTGTAGTGGTTGTTAGTAGCGAGTGACTGAATGGAAAAAGTGTATTTGATGGTGGGAGCGGATGAGGGGGCACGTTTGTGCCACATGTATTGTAAGCATTGGCAGACCTTCGGTGTTTGCAAGTGCAACAAACAGTGGGGCTCCAAAGCAAGGTCCCACTTTGATCGTCGCTGCCAAGTCCTATGGGCACCATGCCCCCAAAGGGCAGGTATTTTCACCCTCTTGAGTGCTGCAGGCGATTTACACGCCTCGAGGGTCACTGCCCAAGGCAATGGGATGCGCTCCACATTCCAGTGACTTCGCTCAAGCGAGCAAGTCCATGCGCTACACGGTCTTTTTTGTTGTTTCATGGCTGATTGGCTGCTGGTCTTTTTGCAACCCCCTCTGCTAACCGTCCATTGAGGACATGCCATGTGTCGGTGTTGCAGAAGGTACAGAAACACATCACCCTGGGCAGACCCTCAGAATGCAAAATATGCTGCCGCTTGGCGCCCTACAAAAGAAGCTATGGAAGCCTCGGGCGCTGGGCAGTAAGCTTGCTGCAGCTACAGCAACCCAAAGCATATGTATCTGGGAGATAACTTGCCGATTGCTGCGGTGCTTGCAGTCTTGAAGCTCTGGTACTCACCTGGTCCGAATCAGCAGGCCTGCTGATGCCCATCTAGCGGTGCAATCAATGTCCCCTTAACCCCCAGCCCCGCGCCTACTGCTTTCTGGTGATACCTTTTTCGCCATCGAAGCCCACATGTATCTCAATAGACTCGCAGGTTCTGGCGTCGCACAGACAAGAATGTTGCAGGAGTTGCATATGGGCAAATGAGCGAGTATATACTACGTGAAGCTGACCGAGAATAACGTGCGACACAATTGCTACTTATTGTGAGGTACAATGTATGTCGACGGGCCAAATGGACCTTCAGGCTTCGTTTTTGAAAGAATGAATGGAACACAGTGATTCACAAAGAGCGGTGTCGTAAGCCACTAGAGGTCACCCTTCTAGTACAAAAGGGCGTGGGAGGAGGCCACACAGGAACAACCCAGGTATTTTCGAAGCATACCACAAGACTCACTCACATGCACCCATCCAGAAGTACAACATGATGTAGGCCCGTGAGATTTGATCTTCCCTTCAGGTTTGTTGTGCGTGTTGATACGGCAGTGGCTGGCCAAGATGATCGCGGACTCTGCTTTGCTCGGGCAAAATAGGAAGCTGACGGGCACCTCAATGTCTTGTTCTGTAAAATCGATGATGATGATGATGATGATGATTGTTAGGCTGTCCAGGCACTCTCGCGCACACTCTCATATGGTCCTCAGGCACGGGAAGCGAGGCTGCAAGTAGATGTATTACAAGACATGCACATCAACTAAATAGTGTTCGCAGGAAATCTCCCCATTTGGTAATTACCGTTCCCATGTTCACCATGCGTCTTTATAACCGTGTTCACAATGACGAACCACACCATGTATAATACCATTCACCTTTAAGGTGAATAATTATAAGTTATAATTATCCATGATGTATAGTATATATTATACGCCTCTCCCTCACATGCTTCTCTGCGCTAAACAATCATTTGTTGAGTAACGTTTGTCCCTTCAGACTGCATCCCTATACACTCGAATCATATCCACATGCCTAACCCAAAGTTTCCCCTTTGACCCCCACACCTCCCAAACTGCATTCGTTATGGGACGAATCGACCGCCCTGGACCCTTCCACCACGGTTTGAGTTTGTCCTTCAAAGTATCGACTTTTGTGTTCCACAAGCACCCTCAGTCCCCTGGCTTGAATGTTTGCTGGATGCGTCGCCCCTTTGTCCTATGGTTTGCTTCACACATTGCTGGTGCACATACTCTTGTAGCCGCCCCCACATGGCCCATGAACTGTTCCACAATTGGTTCGGTGATCTCAATACAAAGGAGTCAGGCGCGTTTCCTTACTCTCCTCTGGCGAAGACAAAGGCATGTCATTCTAGACCTCCATTGCCCACTCGACCATCCTAACAAAATACTTGGGTTCCTCTACCCACATCCGCCTCAAACGGTTCAACAAGGTGTGATCGAACCGTTCCACAAATCTAATGGATGTGTGGTGATAGGGGGGCGAATGCTCCTGCGTCATTCCTTCGTGTATGCACCACTCCCTTAACTCCTTGGATTGTGTCTCCTTGCACATGTCAGAACACAAGATTGAAGGTGTCCCCTATGTTTGGGCCCACTTTTTAGTCCCCTCACAATGTTTGCCCCTCCCGCACCCATCACTACCCACGCCTTTGCTTGTTTGGCCAACACGTCCATTATAACAAGAACAAATTGCTACCTCCCCATATTCCTCTCAGCTAAAGGCTCCATGAAATCCAAGCCAATAGCTTGGCCAGGCTTCTCCAGCACATACAGAGCTGGACCCGGCCAAATGGCATAGGAACGGGAATGGGAACGGTGTCCGTCCCTGTCCCAGGAACGGACCCATCCCCGTTCCCGTCCCAGTCCGTTCCAGTCCGTTCCTTGGCCATTCCCCAGGAACGGATTTGGGCCAGATCTGGGCCGGGCCGGAACGGGGTTGGAACGGGTCCGTTCCTGCCCAGGGACGGATCCGTCCTGGCTTAGGAACGGCCCCGTTCCTGACATGGAACGGCCCCGTCCTTGTTCGTTCAGGTCCGTTCCCGTCCGTTCCCCAGGAACGGACAATGCAAATTGGAGGTCTTACGAGTTGGGGGGGCCACTAGCGGACCAGTGCAAGTTGCGGAGGCATTCATAAGGCCGGATTCAGGGCCAGGAGACACATTTCCACAGGGACACGTGCCTTGCAGCAAAGGCAATATGCACATTGCCCAATGTACAAGCTGGACATATAGCCAAAATTAAAACAAGTCACACACTGAGCCATAGGCCAATTCGAGACAAGCCAATAGAACCCGGAAAATTACAACTTGTAATTTACAAGTCAGTGTTGCCGGACAAAAACATCAGCTGCTCAATGCGTTCGTCCCCCAGAGATGCCCGCCGAGATTGCACAGTATGGCCGGATACCGAGAAGCCCCGTTCTGATGAACCACTTCCGGCCGGCACACACAATGAGTGCCGGGCCACCCACGCCACTATGGGCCATCGAGCACTATTCCGTGCCCAATAATCTAGTGCATCCTCCTCTCGTGGGGTACCCGGCTCACACAAACTCCAACGTTCTGTTAAGAACTCCTGAACGTGGCGTGCGATCAACCGCTGTGTGGCATCCGTCAGTTTGCCACTCGCTGTAGTGCCCGCACGTTGGCTAGGCCCCGCGGCACCCCTTGCCCTTGGGCCCCGGTGCCAAGTTGCATCATAATCCTCCTCGGAGCTAGTGTCAAACGTCTTATGCCCCGTGCGCTTCTCCCTCGGCTTGCGCACGGGCCGCTGTCCAGGATGGGGTGGTAGGCCTGCTTGCCCCGATGCCTCTGACCACCCAATGTCCTTCGCGAATTTAAGACACAACTCCAGCAGCTCAGCCGACATGTCCTCCATCACGGCATCCACTGACACGAACTTCTCCCTGATGGGTTCCAGTACCTTTATGTAGGACCCCAGGGTAGCCTTCCAGGCGTACACTGCACACACACCATGCAATTCATCAGCACTGCTTCTGACCTTTTATATGTGTTTGAATATGTGAACGACACCACAGTGAGAAACAGTACACAACACCAACAACACCATCACTGAGTGATTAGCAATGATCGCTCACCGGTGGGGTCCATCAAAGCCAAAAAGGCCATTTGCCAAACCCACGTGGAGTCGTTGAGGGCCTGTTCTAGCTTCCACAGCATGTCACTGCAGAATGACACCAACCCACTGTATGGCCCCTTAGTATCCTCATCACCGATTTTGTAAAGGAAACGCCGGAGGTGCATCAGCTTGGTGAGAGCCTTGGAGCCTGTGGGGTATGCCTCCGCCTCCAGCCTCTTACAGCACCTCTTGATAGATGCCAAGATTGGGAGGAGGGCCTCTCAGGTAGCCCCATTGTGTAATCTTGATGGGATTATCGTATTCGGGGTGCAGCCCAAACCATCTATCAATGGCCTTCCTCAGGCGCACCGCCCTTTGCAGCATAAAAAATATACTATTCCATCGAGTGTCCACAGACCTCACTAGCTGGAGTACCCTCCACAGGTTGGGCCTCCTGCCACCTTCACCCAACTCATTGGAGGGCACTTCTGATGCAGGCACCCCTTCCTCAGTATTAGAAACTACGTTATTACCCTCCCTTATTATTTCCACTTGCAGCCTTTGCAGCTCAGCTGTGGCTTTCGCGCTAGCATGCATGTGGTTCACCAGCGTGGAGACCCTGCCATTGTAAGGACACATGCACACTGCTGATGAAACAATTCCTAAGCAGTAGCAGCTGCTGCAATTGCAGCACACACAAATAACCACCAACATATATGCACGCACAACAACACACACACCAAGACACACCAACATCATAACTTACCGGTCTATTGGACTGCAAAGCTTTTGGCAGCCTTCGGTATGGGTGACACGGATGCGTAGGTTGGTC